GCAGAAATGAGGACTGTAATTGTTTTGAGTATTTCTACTTTGTATGTGTGCATCAAATATTTTTGTTTTCTTCACTTATAAAATATAAGATATAAACAGGGCTAGCGCATTTTAGGTTGTACGTGTGTTAGTTGTATCATGTTAGGCACAAGTATGACTTTGTACTTGTCTTTATTCAGAGATTGTGTATGGTTTGGGGAGATTTGTACAGGTGCCAAGTTGACAAGGGGTGGACTGTGATGGTTAATATTGTGTGTCAAGTTGGCTGGGCCATGATTCTCAGTGTTTATATGTGATCACCCCCATGATGGGATCTGCTGTGAGTAGCCAATCAGTTGAAAGGGAATTTCCTTGAGTGTGTGGCCTGCATCTGAATATAAATGGATGTTCTAGCTTTTGCCCTCTCTAGATCCTGCAGCTGCCTCCTGTTCATCTGCCCTCTGGTTCTTGGGACTTGAGCTAGCAGCTTACCTGCTGATCTTGGGATTCGTCAATCTTCACAGCCTGTGAGCAAGAGCCCTCCTCTCTGACCTTCTGATCTTGAGTTCACCAGCCCCTGCAGCTATGTGAATCAAAAGAAGTCTTGTGGTCTTGCCTGCTAATCTTGGGATTTGTCGATCTTCACTGCCTGTGAACAGGAGCCCTGCTCTCCAACCTGCTGATCTTGGATTCACCAGCCCCTGCAGCCACGTGAATCAGGAGAAGCTGTTATCCTGATCCATGGACTTGGGATGTTCTAGCATCTATAATCGTGTGAGCTGTTTCCTTGATATAAATCTTTCTCTCTGTGTATATTTATACACTTTACTGGTTTTGCTTCTCTAGAGAAACCAGCCTAAGACAATGAGTTGCAATCAACTAAATGGCACATAGCAATAACATTCGATAAATATCTGTTAAATACATTTTCCTAACTTTTAGTTATGAAAAATTTCAAAAGTATGGAGACGTTGAAAGAATAGTACAATGAAACTATATACAATCTAGATTCAGCAAATGTTAACATTTTGCTATATCTGCTTTATCTCTCTCTGTGTCTGTGTATGTGATTATTTATTTTTGCTGAATCATTTGAAGGTTTTTTACAATCATGACACTTATCCTATAAATATTTCAGCAGGCATTGCCCAAGAAAGAGGACATCCCCTATATAGCCATTATCACACTGAAGATTAATTAGCCATTATTTCTAAAATCATCTAATATCCAGTTGTAGATGGTCTTGTTGGTGCCCTACCCTTAAGCCTTCGGCCTACCCAGAGGTCACCTGCAAACAATTTCCATATAACTGACAACTTCCTAAGTATCTTTGCCTGGACATTCTTGGGCTGAAAAAGTGTGCTCTGTCCTCACAGGGCAGGCCAAAAGTGCTGGGGAGTCAATATCCCAGCAGTGACCCTCAACCAATGATGGACAAAAGTTGGATAAATACCGAAGCTTTCATCTCCCTCAGTGAGCCAATTCTTTCTTTCTTTTTTTTCTTTTTTATTGTACTTTAGATGAAGGTTTACAGAGCAAACCAGCTTCTCATAAAACAATTAATATACATACTGTTTTATGACATTGGTTGCCAACCCCATGACATGTCAAAACTCTCCCTTTCTCGACCTTAGGTTCCCCATTACCAGCTTTCCTGCCCCCTCCTGCCTTCTTGTCCTTGCCCCTGGGCTGGTGTGTCTGTTTAGTCTTGTTTTGTTTTATGGGCCTGTCTAATCTTTGGCTGAAGGGTGAGCCTCAGGAGTGACTTCATTACTGAGCTAAAAGGTTGTTCAGGGGTCATACCCTTGGGGTTTCTCCAGTCTCTGTCAGACCAGTAAGTCTCGTCTTTTCTTTCTTTTTTTTTTTTTTTGTGAGTTAGAATTTTATTCTACATTTTTTCTCCGGCCCTGTCCAGGACCCTCTATTGTGATCCCTGTCAGAGCAGTAGACGGTGGTAGCCGGGCACAACCTAGTTGTGCTGGACTCAGTCTGGTGGAGGCTGTGGTAGTTGTGGTCCATGAGTCCTTTGAACTAATCTTTCCCTTGTGTCTTTGGTTTTCTTCATTCTTCCTTGCTCCAGACAGGGAGAGACCAGTGGAGTATCTTAGATGGCCGCTCAGTGAGCCATTTCTGCTGTGTGTGCCACAAAGCTTCTCCAAATGCCCACAGCGGTAGCTGCCTGCAACAGTAACCTGTGAATTAACACACTGTTTACTAGTTTTCCTCTCTTCCCCAGCTCACTTCCTTACTGTGCTTCCTGAGATCACCTCTTAAATAAACTACTTACACCCAGAGCTTTGCCTCAGGTCTGTTCTGGAGGCAACCTGAACCAAGGTATCAATTCATTGTTAAACTCATTAACAAAAAAGAAAAACAATAAAACACACTGCTCCTGGATCCATAGAGAAGCAGCAAACTCAAAACCTGCTTAGGTAGTGCTTGCAATCCAGCCAACAGGGAGTATGATTGTTTCTAGAACCATGCAATAGTAAGGCTGTGTTTATTTATAAGGTCCTGCCCAGCATACATTAGTAATAGTAATAAGAGCCTACTGTGTGGCAGCTTCACATGTTTTCTTCATTTGGTTCTCACAGTGACTCCATAGGGACGGAACTATTATTATCCCCACTGTGTTGATAATGAACCTGAGATTCATAGAGGTTAAAGAACTTTTTCACGGTCACACCGCAAGTAAGAAGTAGATTTCTGGTGTGCTTAACCAGTGTGCTAAAATGTAAGGATAGTCATAAATATTCTTCTGTTCTCTTCTTGTACAAATGGAAGCAATAGTACTTGCCAGATAAAATGTTAAGATTTGCACTGTTACAAGATACATATTTTTTACCCATTAAAAATGTTATCACCAATTGCTAATTCTTGAAAGGGTAATGCAAGAATTCCCCAACCAGGGAGGAGCCTCAAAAGGTTCACACTCCCCAAGTCATGCCTAGCTTTGTACAGCGTACACACTGGGCTTGGGTTACCAGTGGTAAGTAATATTTTTCCAGCATTGGTAAAGGTGTGTGAAATCTTCCAATATTTTGACTGCTGTGAAAGTCAAACCTCTCCTCAAACTTGCCCCATCACAATTCCCAGGCTATCAAATTATCAAAGCACGGTCATTGAACTTGAGAATGACAAATGTTCAGTGAGATGTGCTACACATTTTTGCACAAGTCAGGCTTTCCTGGAACCATTGTATCTCTGTTAGTAATATCTGGCCCCACCTAGTAACCTCAGTACAGATAAGATCTTAGACCTTAAGAGGATGTCTTTCTCAATTACTGTCTTCTCTAAGAATCCATAAAGGGACATAAACTTTGAACCCAATCTATCTTATTCACTTGACCCTGCTGTCATAAAGTGTTTCAATACAAGTACTATAAAAGAGGGTAACAGAGAAAGGATTCAGTTTCCCAGAGGGAAGAACAGTTGGCCAAGGAAGTCAGCTTTTCAGATCTCAGCAGGTAAGTGGTTAAGACTTTGTCTTGTATAGAAAGCAGAGAGAGTCGTGAACATTAAAGTCAAAGCAGGTAAGGGAAATTTATTTTGAAAAGTTGCTATCTTGGTGGATGGAAGGAAAGGGGAGACATCCATCCTCTCCATTAATAGGGTGGGGTGAGGTCTGCCAAGAGGCCCATACTCTCAGGTTTTATTGAGCACCTATAGTGTACACTGCCTGAGACAATGCTACTGACAACCCAATTTTGAAATCCTCACTGTTACAACACTGTAATAGAAATCTTTTTGGCTAAAATTTAAAATCACAAAAAAATCGAGATCAGTACTAATTGCATCTCATTGAAAGACGAATGCAGGCTTGCCAGCCAGAAAGGGTGAGCCCAGCGGGAATGAAACTTGCTCCTGTCAGAACAGGCCTGGGACAGGGGAAGAGTCAAACAAGGCCAAAGATGTCATAGGCACGCTGCAGCTCTTGAAAGTTGGTACTTGCGTTAAAGGGACAAAATTCTGAGTTACTAAGCTCTGTGGAGTGATCAGGGGTTGAAAGGGATCAATAGTGGCTTCTTAAAGGAAGAGAATACCAATCTAGACAGTAGGGTAGTAAGAGCATGGTCTTGGGGGCTCTGGGTTTGAATCCTAACCTTGACGTGTACTGTCTTTGGGACCTTGGACAAATTACAGACTCTTTCTACATCTTTGAAAGTTACCTCAGTCGGGTTGTTGTGAGGCTTAATTGAGACTGAGTTAATGTCTGTAAAGTGTTTAGCATGGTGCCTGGCCCTAGAAAGCATTTGATGTGTGTTTCTCTTGTATTCATAGTGGTAATCTTGAAAGGAAGTGATGGATGTATGTTTTTCCCACATGGAAGTTGAGAACATCTTAAGAGAGGGATGGCAGGAATAAAAGCACAGAAGAAGGGAGAAAGGAGGCCTTTATTATTTATTATGTTTAGTCCATACTGTGTCAAAGAGAAGGAATATCCTGAGGAGGAGATAGTGGAGGGACAGAGGAAAGCAAAGAGATTAACATGGTTTAAGACTGGAGACCAAATTGCAATTGAATCTTTTCTAAGATACATACCATTTGAAATCTTCTGGGTTTGGAACAGTCTAAAAACTCTCTATTATCAGGGGCAACTTTACAAAAATGAGCCAGAAGGACTTTCCAAACAAGAATTATTTTGTTCAGTAGGGATCGTATGAGAATGAAGCAAGTCTCATTTCTAAGTCTGTTAAAATGACCTTCTATCAATTTCTCTAGGGAAGACTGGCTTTATCGTCCCTGGGGTGGCTCTAAATCTTACAGTCTCTTTCCTTTAGTTTTCTTTTTTACTGTAAACAAATTCCTTAATACTAAAAGTACTTTGAACTTAGTAGACAGAACGGGGTTGTTTAATTAAAAACTAGAAACAATACCGTTATAGTTGGGTTGACTCATCTGGGAATTGATTTAAAATGCATAATAGACAGGAGAAAGGTTCATAAACTCAGAATAGACCAAAGTACAGCACCAACTGCACTCTTTCTCCCCCTGGCAGAGTCAACTTGAATTCATTAAAGATGGCTTGGAAGAGCAGTGGCCTAATGGAAGTGTACAAATTTCTTCTCTTAGTGACTTTCTTTCTGCCATGTGAAATGACGAGTAAGTAGGTGTTCTTTTGATTACTTTTTATACAAAGAAATTTTTCAGATTAAAAAATGATCAATGCACATTGGGTACATCATAGAATCCAAATTGGATTGACTGCACATTGGTATGGCTCAGAGTAGAGAAATCAGGTAACATAAAAAATTGAATGAAAAAATATTGGGGTTTTTTGTTCTGATATTACAAGACAGAGTGAAGTATTCTATTCTCTCCAGAGGCACAGCCAGAATTTGCCTACATTTTAATGCATTTCATTACTATCTTACTCAAACTAATCTTCTGCCATTTAAACTCATCACTTACGTGAAAATCTTCTCACCACGGAAGTTGCCCTCCCCCGATTTGAAAAGTAATACACAGTCATTGTATAAAATAAATTAGGCAGCATATGAAAGAAGAAAGAAAAGTAAAGAGTCCCCCAAAATCCTATCACCCAGAGATAACTATTCAAAGTTTTGATGTGTATTCCTCCAGATTCGTTTCAATGCTAGGGTCGCTATAAGTTGAAAATTGACTTGATGGCACCCAACAACAATAACAACAGCAATCCCGTTATCTTCTGCAGTAGTTTGTGCTTTTGAAAAGAAAATTTTATGGGTTTACACAATATATTAACAAATGTTATCCGGTGTCTGTATGTGGAGAGTATGTACGCGATGGCAGCTGAAGTTATTTTTTAGCTTTGTTACCTGCTCTGATGCAGGAAAGTAACAACTGACATTCAAGTATAACACTAGGCAGTAAATGGATTTCTGAAAAATCAGAGATGAAAATTAACTGCTCCATCTTCTAACCACCCACAACAACTTGTTCACCCAACAAACCCAACCATTTAAACACTTTTTTACTTTACTACACTGCAAAAACAATATTAAACCATCAGAAATTCAAGATCCTATTTGTCCATAATCTTGTCATTTAATCAAAAAAGTGTTTCCGAATCTGTTATTGCCCATGGGCATATTCAATTTTTATATAATTGCAGCGATTATTAGAGATGTAATTTGTATTCTGCCTTTTCACTTGATGTCATACCTTAAATATTTTTCCATTTTGCTATAGTCCTCTTTCCTTTGTATTTTCCCAACCCATCTTCCCTTAATTTCCTACTTCCAACCCCTTGAAGTAATCAATTTCAGTCTAGTATTTCTTCACTTTCGTCTCTATTTTTTATCAGTCCTATGCAGTATATAAAGACCCTAGGTGGTGCAAACAGTTTTAATTTGTTTACTAACCTAAAGCTTGGCAGTTTGAACCCACCCCGTGGTACTGTGGAAGAAAGGCCTGGCAATCTGTTTCCATTAAGATTACAACCAAGAAAACTGTATGGAGCAGCTCAACTGTGTAACACATGGGGTTGCCATGAGTTGGAATTGACTCACCGGCAATGGGTTTGGGTTTGGGTTTTACTCAAGATACATAAGATTTTCCCCCAAGACTTTTTACACACACACACACACACACACACACACACACACACACAGAGGGATTGCTCTCTATAGCTATTTTTTAGCCCAGTGATTCTTAAATTTCACTGCACGTTAGAATCACTTGGCGTGGTTTTTAAACAATCTGATGCCCGGGTTGCACTCGTATCTATTAAATTAGAGGGTCTGGGCGTGGAAGCAGGCCATTAGTATGGTTTTTTTTAAAGATCCAGTGATTTCCAATGTGCAACAAAATTTGGTAGCCACTATTTTAACCTTGGAGCCCTGGTGGTGCAGTGGTTAGGAGCTATGACGGCTAACCAAAAGGTTGGCAGTTCAAATCCACCAGTCACTTCTTGAAAACCCTATGGAGCAGTTCTACTCTGTCCTATAGGGTTGCTACGAGTCAGAATCAACTTGACGGCAACAGGCTTGTCTGTTTGTTTTTTTGGCTTGGATTTTAACCTTTTTCATTTTTAGTTAATAATACCTTATGGACCTTTTCCCTTGTAAAATCGTATAGATTAATATTACTATTTTTAATTACTGCAAAGTATTTCATTGTACTGACGTAACAATTTATTTAACCAATCTATTGTTGATGGACATTTAGTTTGTTTACTCTGTTCATCTGAATAGTTTCTTTCTCTATTTCCAGGCTCTGCTTTAACTGTAAATGGTAAAACTGAGAGCTATATCCTGAACACTAGGCCTCACTCCCATGAGTCTCTGACATGTGCCGTTCAAAATCACACTACAGAGGAAGAACTTCTCTGGTACCGACAAGAGGGAAGAGTGGCCTTGAAATCTGGAAATAAAATCAACTCCAGCTCCATCTGTGTCTCTCCCATCAGTGAAGACGACAATGGAGTCACATTTACCTGCAAACTGCAGAGGGATCAGTCCATGTCCATCTCAGTGGTACTCAACGTTACCTGTGAGTGAGGGGAAAGAAACGGCTAGTCAGTCTGTGCTGTCTGCATGACCTCATCTGCATGACGTGAAGTGATAGTTGAAATCTAGGTCTAAGGATTGTATGCATTTTAACATTTGCTTGATGTTGCCAAATTGCCCAATTTATACTCCCCTACAAAGCATAAGAGGGCCTATCTCCCCACATCCTCACAAGCACTGAGTATCCTCAAACTCTAAGAATTTGCCAGCCTGATTTGAAAGTTTATCTTCATTTTTAAAATTAAGAGTGAAGGTGATCACCTGTTCATAAATTTATTGGCTATTCACGTTTCTTTTCTATGAAATGCCTGCTCACGTCCTTTACTCATTTTTCTATTGGGTTACTTTCCTTTTTCTTATTGATTTGCAAAAGGGCTTTGTAAATTAAGGAAATTAGCCCTTTGTCATGTGGATTGTAAATATTTCCCCCATTTATTTTTGACATTGTTTATAATTTTTTTTTTTTTTCCATACTGAAGTTTTAAATATTTATGTTTTAAAAATTACCGATCTTTTCCTTTGTGGTTTGTAGCTTTTGTGTTCTACTTAGAAACACCTTCACTGGGGATCTTTTAACAACATCTTAAAACTAAAAAAAAAGGAAGCTCGCAAGTGGTTATGTGCTAGGTATTGGTAACACTGGTGGAACTATGTGGGGTTAGGGGTTGTACGAATAACTTCAAATATAAAAATCAGCACAAAGGCAGTTCCTTTGAGGCGGAGGTCAAATACTATATTTTTACGCAGATAATGGTTGCCTTCTATGTTTGTTTGCCAACTGTACCCTCCCCCCACCCCCGGGGAGAGCAAGGTTGGCAAACAAGTGTAGACATCGTGGGTTATTTGTGTAAAAATACAGTATATCCCAGATTTGCACATTCTCCAAGCTGCTGTACCCCTCCATCTCTGACACCAGTCACTCTCCCTCCCCTCAGCACTCTTCGCTCCCCCATTTGGGTTAGGCAATTTGCTATAATGTCTCACAGAACTCACAAACTGTACTTACAGTTAAGGAACAGGGTACAACTCAGGATCAAGACCACAGGCTACAATTCAGGATCTAGATCAGGAAGCACGTAGGTAGAGTCTCCGTTCTTCAGTGCAGGACAGCTCCCTCAGCCCTGGACATGCAAGCCTTCTTTCAGCCCCTGAGGACAGGTTCTTCTGGGCCCTTTGAGGACAGGCTCCTCTTGGCCTTGCCATCTGTCATCGCCGGCTCTGCCATTCGGCCCTTTCCAAGCCTCTCACTGTCTTTTGTGTTACAGCCCTTGACCTGTGTTACAGCTCTTTTAGGAGGTTCCTAGCCTCCTATCTCTCTCTCTCTTTCTCTCTCCTTCTTGCTTTCTTCCTTCTACTTCTTCCTGATGCTTCTTTCTGTCTGAGAAAAACCTCTGTGGGGCTAGCTACGTGTAAATACACAACTCCTTGTCAATTTCAAGGTATGGTCCCTCCCAGAGGGGGCCACAAATCGATCAATCCCTTCTCCGTAGGCCACAGACACTTCATTTGCATAGTAGGCTATAGTTACCTCATTTGCATAGTCGATAGTCACTTCACTTGCATGGGCATATGGACCAATCCCTGCAGAGCATATACCAATCACAGGGCAGTCTGCAGCCCAAGGCCAGACAAAAAGTCAAGTTGTTCACAGCTTACCCAGGGGTAGAAAACTAGGGCAAAGGTAACTCCTCAGGGTTCAGGGGAAAACTCTCTCAAGCTGCTTTCCCAAAGACCCAAGGTAAAAGCCCACATAAAGGTACTCATTTCACCACAGGGGTCCTTCAAATGATACCACATAGGTGATCAGGTAGGTGCTTTGGGTGGAAGGTGGGTTTTGCATGAGTGAGGTATGCTGTGGAGTGGTGTGGGGTGTTGTGGGATAGGATGATGATGTAGATTGATTTGGTAGAAAGAGATCTGGACTCAGAATCTAATGATAAGAATCAAAGCTGTTTGACTCCAATGAGCTCAGCAAACTTTTCTGCAAAAAAAAATGTATGCCATTGCTCCTGAGGTATAAGGATGGAGAAAACGCCCAGGAGACCATCTCTGGAGACTGCTGGCACCCGGCAGCTTCATTTCCAAAGTGAATTATTTTCACGTTCCCAGGAGCTTAGTTTTTCATTTTCCAAGAATTGATAAAATGTGATTTTCAGCAAGCTACCTTCTTGGCTACATTGATAGAATCCAGGACTATCAGGGGAACTCGGAGATCTCATGAAAGGACAGATGAGAAAACTGAGGCGCAGACTGTGAACCCAAATAACAGTCAGAGCTGAGGACAGAACACAAATCCCCAGGCTCCTGATCCACTGTTCTCTACACTGAAGGAGACTTGGCAGATATACCCGCACTATAATTTGGTAGCTTAAAAAAACTGTTCAGTTCTCCAGCCTGAATCTACTTTTAAAATCATCTTTATAACAAACTCCTAAATAGCATTGCTGCTAAGCACACACATATAAATTATCAATCGGTCAGTGATTCAGAGTGATAATAAATGACACTAACTCATCATCGATAAATCAAATGAGCTCATTGAAGTGATAAGAATATTATGTACAATCTAAAGGGAGTATTACGGAAAGGGGCTGCGTGGAAATTTCACATTTATTGTTTATTGCCTGCAGTGTAGGCCTGGCTTCCTGGGTTTTGGAGTATTGTTAATGCCTACTTTGCATAGTTCACTTTTGCATGCTCCTATGATTTTGATTTGTTTTCCTCCTATCCCCTCCCTCTTGCTTTCCCATGACTTTGAAGTTTAACTAAGTTTCTCTTTGAGGGGTAGAATGACCTTGGAGGGTAGAGTAACTCATCTGCGATGTGATAATAACAGGGCAAGATGACCTTCAAGGATTGCCAAGTGCAGAATGTAACCACCAGAAAAAAAACTATAATCTTGTCCATATAAAAACTTTCAGCCTGTCTCCGAGTCTCCTACAGGTATACTACACATATGGAAAAACATTTTTTGAAGGTCTGGGGGGATTTACCCCAAGCTCATAGCAGTGGGTCTCTCTGGAGAGGCCAGGAGGTGACCAGGATGGAGTTAAAGAGGACTTCAGCTTTATCTGAAATATACTAAATTTAAGAAAAGAGACTATCCATGTAGAGTTTACATGTTTAAAATTAATTGAAAATTGTTGTTATTGTTGTTAGGTGCCGTCAAGTTGGTTCCAACTCACAGCGACCCTCTGTACAATAGAACAAAACACTGCCCAGTCCTGCGCCATCCTCGTAATCCTTGTTATATTTGAGCCCATTGTTGCAGCTGCTGTGTTGTATTCTGAGTGCCTTCCAACCTGAGGGGCTCATCTTCCTGTACTATATCAGACAACGTTCTGCTGCTATTCAGAAGGTTTTCACTGGCCAATTTTTTCAGAAGCAGACTGCCAGGTCCTTCTTCCTAGTCTGTCTTAGTCTGGAAGCTCTGCTGAAACCAAGGGTGACCCTGCTGGCATTTGAAATACTGGTGGCAAAGCTTCCAGTATCACAAGAACACGCAAGCCACCACGGTACAACAAACCGACAGATGTACACTGGAAATAGTTAAATAATGAGGAAAAACTAATAGGGCCTGTTCACAAATGAAACTGGTGTATCTAGCCGCTTCCAACATATCTGAATACCATATAACATCCTTGCTGGATACGAATACAGAATTCAAGCTCATTCCAAAGAGCAACAAAATGTCATTCTTCTGAGAGGGTTATTAATAGCACAGCCTACTCAGGGTCTAATTATTCAGTGCGCAGATTATACAAACTACTTTTTTTCCTCCTTGTCCTCCTGTTTCTCTTTCCTACTGCCTATTCTTCAAATATTTTATTATTCTTTTGCACCTTTGCCCAAAAACGGAAGGGGCATGGAGAAGAGGGGAGAGTCAGTTCACCTGTTTCTTTCCCTAGATGTTGGAAAGCCTTGGTGGGGGTGAGGGTTTGGAATTATTTGGTGAAGATAATGTGTTTGCCTTTCTGTGGGTCCACCAGTTGCCATCAAGTTGATTCCAATTCATGGTGACCCCCATGAGTGTCAGAGTAGAACTTTGCTCCATAATGTTTTCAATTTTTCAGAAGTAGATCACTAGGCCTTTCGAGTTGCTTCTAGGTGGACTTGAGCCACCAACCTTTTGATTAGCAGGCAAGAGCAATTAACTGTTTGCGCCACCAGGGACTCCTATCTATGGGTCTACAGCTGCCCTTATCATGGAGGGAGTAAGGAGTTACTTACATGGAGGGATGCGAAGGGCTCAGAAGGTCATGCTTACGTGCCACAGATGCCAGAGTTGCCACGATCGGAACACTTTCTGGGAGGAGGACATTATTTCTAGAGAATTATTGAGGAATGCAAATATGCATTAGTAAATATGTAATTAGGGAAAATGTGGTTAGATAAAATGCAGATAGAAAGGGCCTGAGTAGCCCTCCAAACAACGACCGCTGCTACCCCTCAGTAATAATAGCAGCTAATCCTGTGGTAAATTCTTTACATATCCTACTTACAGATAAAGAGGCCTTAGCAGTTAAGTAACTTTCTCAAGGTCACATTGAGTGGTGTAGCTGGAAATGGAGCTAACTGCAATGCCTGCATTCTTAATATTATACTGTTTTATCCAACACTATGGGAGAAAGATGTGGCAGTATGCTTCCGTGAAGATCACAGCCTTGGAAACCCTATGGGGCAGTTCTACTCTGTCCTACAAGGTTGCAATGAGTCAGCATTGACTGGAACACAGTGGGTTTGGTTTGGTTATCCAACACTAGCCCAGGCTGATACATTAACTCTCAGAGAGCAAAGACCCAAAGTTTATACTCTTGGATTTCTTAAGAATCGACTACTTGGTACAGATTCATTATCATATGTGTTTGTTTCATGGTTTGCCTTCTCTACCACATCAAAAGTTCTACAAGGTTTGGAACTGATCTCTCTTATTTCCCAATTGTATGCCCATATGCTAGCCCAAAGCTTGGCATGCGCTAAGTACTGAATAAATAGTTGTTAAATGAATGAATGACTGCATGAGATAGACTGAAGGAAGACCTTGAGCATTGACTGTGAACTAGGGCTTATCTGCTAATTGAACCTAAATGCTTGAATCTTGCAGTTCCTCCTCGCCTAAGTGGAGATGACATCCAAACAGCTGAGGAAGGGAGTGATGTGCAGTTGGTTTGCAGTGTGAAATCCAACCCTCAGGCTCAAATGATGTGGTACAAAAACAACAGCATCCTGGATTTAGAGAAAAACCATCACCAAGTCTACCAGACAAGTGAATCTTTTCAGCTATCAATCACCAAAGTCAAGCAATCTGACAATGGAACCTACAGCTGTGTTGCAAGTTCACCTCTGCAAACAGAGACTAAGGACTTTCACCTGATTGTTAAAGGTAACTGCTGTTCCAAAGAATAATCCCGAAGTGGTCACCAGCATAGTGCAAACCTCAGAACAGATGCTCAGGAAACATTTATTTTTGATGACAACAAATGATGATGACAGGTGTAATTAATAGCTAGGATTTTCTTCAGAGAATTATCCCCATCCTGGGGGTTTTCCACTAAGAATTCAGGGAATTATACCTATCCCAGATAAGACATTGCTTTTTGATCCTTTTCTAGAACTGAGTGGTAGAAAAAAAGTTCCAGTTGGCTTTTACCAGAACCAGTTGCCATAGAGTCAATTCTGACTCATGACGACCCCACGTGTGTCAGAGTAGAACTGTGCTCCACAGAGTTTTCAGTGGCTGATTTTTCAGACGTAGATCACCAAGGCTTTCTTCCAAGGCACCTCCGGGTGGACTTGAACCTCCAATCTTTTGGTTAGCAGAGAGCCCATTAACCGTTTGCAACACCAAGGGACTCCTCCATTGGCTTTTCGGGAAGAGTGTTTCCATGAATTCTGCTGGGTAACAAGGTTCGTAGGAACTGAACTTTTGAGTTCACAGCCTAATGACGAACAGAAGTCCGAAACACACAAAGAAAGTTGCTGGCTTGATAAGAAAATGGATCTCTAAAATGACTCCTTGTTCTGAAATTCTAACCCACAGGCTAATAAGAACAGGGAGTGGGAAAAAATGGAAAAAGAAAACCAAAAAAAAAAAAAAAAATCACCTCTTTCTCTTGACTTCATGCTTCATGTACCTAGGTTTAACACCTCTGCAAGAACAGGGAACAAATCAAGCTCTAAGTGTCTTTACCTCCTCATATTTCTTGCTCATACAGAGAGGAAGGCAAGATACCTGGAACAGTGGGTACAGAAAATGTTCATCCTCACGTTTCCTGGTCTTGGGCCAGCATGCTGGCAGCAGCCAAACAAGCTGAGGCTCCTAGTTCTTGAGATAACACTATTCTCTTTGCCATTTGCCTCCCTGTGCCCACTCATTGCCATTCTTGCCAGTCTCTAGGAAGCCAACTGAACCCCTGCCAGAAGTGTTCGACTGATGTGCTCATAAAAAAACAAAACCAAACCCATGGTCGTCGAGTGGATTTCAACTCATAGCGACTCTATAGGACAGAGTAGACTGCCCCATAGGGTTTCGGAGAAGCAGCTGGTGGATTTGAACTGCCGACCTCTTTCTTGGTTAGCTGCTGAGCTCTTAACCACTTCACCACTGGGGGCTTCTTATTTCCTACCCCACAGGGGTCCGGTGATGCCAACAGAGTGGCTGGTCGGGAGTTAGAGCTGCCAACTGAATGCCTATCACTGTGATTCTTGGCATGTTCAGTAACTTGTCCTGCTGAGTGGTGACATGTGCCCAGGGGCTACTTACTTTTAAAACCAAAACCACAAATGACCTAAGTACCCGTAGAAGGGCACCATGTTCAAGTTTGTGGCTAGTCACCTCTCCCAGGACCACAAAAGCATAGTTGGTGCAGCCTCAGGCCATGACACTCTAACTGGCTGTAAAGACCACACTCGGAGACGCAAGGGAATTATATCCACCCTCTCGGTTAAGAGGATTCATAATTGCTCTATGTCACATGGAAAACAAGCATCTTGTGTGGCAAGCAGGATGCCAGCTTGGCAAATTGACTTTCAGGTGGGCAGGATCCTGTTTTAGGTGGAGCTCTTCCAAAGCAACTTGTTTTTCTGATTCCTTCCTGGTTTATTACTTCCCTGGCGGTTGGCCACCTTTGCAGCATACGTGCCCGTCTGCTGGAGCACGGGCTAAGTGCCAAGCTTGTCAGGAGCTTCTCCTAGCTTCGCTGTGCAGTGGAGTACTTTCTAAATGAGGTCATGCAAAGCTGGAGATGACATCACATATCTTCTCTTGAGCACAGGATTTAGCCCACGTGTTGGAATTATGTTACCTTAATGCATATGGGGGAGAAATACCAGGTCTGGTTACAAATGAGAGTGTCAAACAGGACAAGGGGAGAGGTGCATTGCACTTTGTGGTGGCGAGTGGCACTTGCAAAAATCACTTTGAGCAGAAACTTGGAATCCAAAGGGAGCCAGTGGGTCAGGCAGTTTATTTCAGCTTGTTCTTGGAGTGACCGTCACATGGGGCTTCATTTTATTTGGCTGGTGTAAATAGTCCAACCCTTGACTGAGCTCTGATTTATGTTCCTTATTGTCCTGCCTTTGCTTCCCCTTTGTTTTGGCGTCTCTTTTTTGGCATGCAAGTGGAGGGTTCCCCAGTAAAGTGAAGCCTCTTTAAGGTGTCCCAAAGCTGGTGATTCAGAGCTTACTGGAAGAAGGCTTGCTAGAAGAAGGTCCATTGAGCAGAAATTCTCCAGAGGGTTGGTGCAACCCATGCCTACATGAGAATAATTTTTAGGAAGAGCCAAGAGAGGACAAGAGCAAAGGATGCCTAATCCACTTACTCCCCAAGCTTATTCTGGGCAGGAGCTGGACAAGAAATGGGTAAGAAAATGATGGAGAAAATAATTGGTTAGTGCTTCATCCAGTTATGGGGCAGATAAATCCTATTTCGTAATCTTGAGGTAGATAGGACTTGGGCTTTGAATTAGATTATCTAAAGTCACCTCTTCCCTTCCCCATCTTTTGCCCCTTGTATCTTTCTCATGATCCTGCTTTCGTTATAGTATTTATCTCAAGCTGTAGTTTTTGTTTGCTTAATGTCTGGCTCCCACGCTAGAATATGAGCTCCAAGAAGGCAGGGACTATGTGTGTCCTATTTTTTGCAGGGCCAAGCACAGTGTCTCACACACAGTAGTCTTTCAATAAATATTTGTTCACGCCACCTCAATCCACAAACTCAATTGCACAATAAATAGCACACTATTTATTTCCTTAAAATTAACTTAATTCTGATTCCATAACCCCAGCCTCCATGTGGGTGGAAAATTTCAGTCTAAGTCATGATTAGAACCCCTCGTCTTCCCCAGGTGACACCAGAATCCGGGAACTTAGGCAGAGTCATTGTAACACTTCATTGACCTTAAGCACTCTTACTTTTGAAGGGTCACCCTATATTGTAGCAAACATGTTAAAATGGAGCACATTAAGTATACTTTAATTTAAAAATATTTTTTATTAAAACTATGATGGGAAAACATTTAAATCAATTACAACACAAATTAGAAATCAGATAGTGTACTTCCCAGTCATAACCAAAATAAATCTATAAGCCTAGAGATATAATACATTAAGTATACTTCATACTGTAAAAATTTTGAAAGGGTTTGTATAAACTGTATACATTTTGAACATTGTTATAAATAAGTTATGAGTTTAGTTCTTGAGATGTAACATTATTATTTAATGGTTGAATTATAGTTGACACCAAGGTTACCTTTTAGAGATGTTTAATTAAACATTCATTAATTTCGTTTCTGCCACTTTCTTTTCATATTTTGGAGCTGATAAAATTTTTCTTCAGATCTCGGACATTTTCATAGGCCCTTGGAAAGCTTGTAAGCACGGGCATTGTGCTCATAGTGCCTGATGAATAAGACAGTTTGAGCTTACCTGCTGTTCAAAAAACAAGGAAAGGGACTTTCACTTCCAGGCTGGCACAGCTGTTGCTGGTCTCTTCCTAGGCTAAGTTACCAGTAGACTCTCTGACCTTCCATCTCATTCAGGGAGGTATGGAAATCTTTGTGTATGTAGGCAAGGCTGGTGCTTACAGTCCTACTTCCCTCGGGGCACCATGCATCCGCCTCCTATAATGTCATATCATCTGCTTAGGTACAGGTATAAGGCTCGTCACTGCTGCTGGGATGCACAGGCCTCTCTCCCTTCTTAGTTCAGCAGGTTCTCCACCCTTTCTCTTCTTGCTCCTAAAGCCCTCCTCCCTTTTGTTCCCCTACTGGAATATCTCCCTATAGCTTTTGGGTTTTTCAAAAAGCAAGAAGAACCATGACTTCAGTCCTTCTGTTTTCTGCATGGCAAAAAGTACGGATAGAGAAGGCACACAATGGTCTGACTACTTGCCTGGGGGAGTTATTCATATTTCAATCAATTGTCCTTTCACAAATGAATGGATTCAAAACCTGCCTCTGCCATTGACTAGTTGTGTAACTTTGGACAAGTAACCTCTCAAAGCCTCGCCTGTAATATGTGGATGATAATACCTATCTTTTGGGGTTACTGAGAGGATTTAAATAAGAAGATGTATTTACAGTTCAAGGCACTATGGTTGGGACATATTAGAAGCATGTAAACTAGAAGCATATAAATGTTAGTTCTCATTCTTTGTATTTGTAATTTCCCACAGATAAAGGGTGGCGTACACCGAATGAACCCATTATAGCTGCATGTGTTGTAGCTGTTCTGACAATGGTCTTTGGGCTGATTGCTAGAAGACAAAGAATAATGAAGGTATCTAAGTATTCTAAGCTATTAGATATAAAGTCATCTACTGAATCTGCTAAATTTGCTAAATAAAGGTAGGGAACTGGCTATGTAAGTGACTAGAGTTAGGAATGATTCTTGGGCAAAGTTGAATCTGGTCTCTCTACCATGGAATCTAAAAAGAAGTTAGTTAAGGGAATAAACATTGCACTTGTATTATGAGTATAGATGTGCAGAGAATACAAGTACGTATGGACAAGGCCGGAATGAAAATAACTGTGGTTTAGGGTTAAGGGATTTGGGACTGATTTTTCTTCCTCTTGAATTTCCCGTTATTGTTGCTATGGTACCCGTTGTACAATAAATAAATATTCAGAGGAACAGCTGCTCTGGATTCAGAGATCTGCATTGAAAAGCTGGCATTTGCTGCTTACCTCTTGGGTACAGCCACTTGCCTCAGCTGCAGTAGGGCTGGGGTTTGAATGATTGAATGGTTAATCTCATTGGTTAGCATGATTCAGAGTATGTGCATGCATAGGTTAATGCCATACATTTGACTCTGCCAATTTAATCCAATGCCAAAGAAGGGCAAATATGGCAAAAAGCCTCTAAGGAAAGTCCATTGTGCCCTAGGCAGAATTAATAATCCAGCAAGGGACATGTTCCTTGAAATACATGTTCACTGGGTGGTATTCCAAGGGACAATGTCTCCCGGGATGAAATTCCCTCCATCCCCTTCCCATCCCAAGCAAAAATTTCCTACAAAAAAAGGAATGTACCCACTTCTATTAAATATCTAGAATAGGCCAATTACAGAGATCAAAGTCTATTTGTGGTTACCAGAGATGGGAGGGAGGGGGAAAGAAGGCGTTATTGCTTGAGGGACGCCAAGCTGCTATTAAGGATGATGGAAAAATTTGGAAACAGTGGTGGTGGTTGCACATTTGATGATCGTAATTAATGTCACATATAAACACATTGAAATGGTAAATTTTTTGTTATATATATACTCACCACAAGTTGAAAAGAAAAGAAGTGCTCAGCTACCTAAGAATCCTGGAAGCATCCTGATTTAAGAATTACATCTTCTCTAAGTTCAATGGAAATCACCCATGTGGCCAAATACATGAGTCCTGGGCCAGTGCAGAGGTATCTGCATTTCCACAGCACCTGTCCTTTGAGTCACCTTGATGCAATCAAAATGTTTACCCATGGGCTTTGGGAAAGTATGTGAATGTATTGCCCTTTTATGTTTGCTTTTAGCTCTGCATGAAGAATCAAGACCCCCAGAGTGGAACTTCTCCGTGAGTACCCTGGGCTGGGGTGAATGATTTTTCATAAACAGATGGGTGGCAGTGGCACATCATAAAGCCCATCCTGGGCAAAGTCCTGTTGAGACGGGAGGTGCCAGAAGGTGAAGGGGTTCAGAGTCAAATGGAGGGAGGAGAAGAATCTGCCTCCACTTTAGAAGAAGGAAGGTGAGGCTACATTGGAAGTTTGCCAGAACTGAAAACACCTTTGGTCTTCAGCCTACAATCTCTTTAAGTAATTTTGGGCTAATGCTTATGCAACTGCATTTTATTGCCACACAATGTCAATGACTGAGAGGGCCTGCTCTGGGGAAAGTCACTGCCGCTATACACCTTCCCAACAAGAGCAGGAATCACAGTCTCCAGCTTAAGCTTAATACTGCCTCCTCTGTGGGGCTTCCTTTCATCTGTTGGCTACAGCATATGTCAAGAGGACAGTGGGTAAAAAGAACAAAGACATACTTCCCGAGAGTGTGAATTGTGTTTTGAAGTTTTTTTTTATTGCTATGATTTTCATTGTAATTCATTTCTTGGTCCATTTTAGATGAGAAAGCTGAGAAGTCCATCGACTGCAGGAATAGTTTTGCATCAGGGCCTCCTTGATTTACGTTGTTCCGTCTGTATTTATTGCTATTATTAAATTCACTCCTGTCAGGTTGTTACAGGTTATGAGAAGTGTTTCATTAAGCACTTCACAGTATTTGTTATGACTAATTTGATATACTTATGGAATATTTTTATGGAGAGCGCTGTTGTTAAGAATGAAAAGTAAGATTTCGTTGAGTCTTCTCCTTGAAGGTTATATTAATTAACTGAGATTCATTACCAATGGGTTGGTAACCTTTTATTGTTTACTGTGTGTTTTTGTACATCAGAGATTAACAGACATTCTGGTTTCGCAAATCAGTGTAAAACCCCCCTAAGAAAAGGGGGGAGGTGTGCTAGGAAGTGACGGAGAAGAACCGCGAGTGATCAACTTTTTAAGTTGCCATGGAAGCACATAAAAAAATCAATTCTCTTCTACTTTCATTGTCATTTCATAAAAGAAATATTTTGGACTACAAAAAGAAGGAAGGATGTAATCTCAGAATATAAGACATTCCTTTAAACTGAATAAATTTCATATTATGAGAAACTCAGCATATGTGCTTATTTTTCTCATCTCATCATGGTGGACGCTGTCAAAAAATTTGAGAGTTTTTTGTGGGGATGAACAGGAGAAGAGCAGGAGAGGGGAGCTGGCCAGTATGTGCCTTTACATGTATCCTTTGTCTCTTTGCGCATAGTCATTTGCAAAGAGTTAGGCTGCTAACCGCAAGGTTAGGTTGGCAGCTCGAATCTACCAGCCACTCCCTGGAAACCCTATGGGGCAGTTCTACTCTGTCCTATAGGGTCGCTATGAGTCAGAATCAACTCGATGGCAACGGGTTTGGTTTTATCTGTATTGTGAACCAGCCTGTTCTCTCCTTCTATATATCAACTTTAAATTGTAGCTCCCTTATTATTTGTCATTGACTTTTCCCGCCTCCATTCTCTGTTATTTCCCCCGACAAGAGTCTCTGCTTCTCTTTCCCACACAGCTGGGGTGGGAGTTAGGGGGAAAGGCTGCCCCGGTCATAACCACCTTGGATGTCTCTGCTGTGATCCCCCTCTATTTAGAGAAAGAACCTTTTTGCCTCTAATATTGCAATAGCTAAATTTCCCACATCTAGAGAGAGAGAGAGATCTGCTGTCAGACAGGTGGTAAAAAGCCCCTTATTGACACAGAACCAATAAGAAGAAATGAGCAGAATGTATGAAATCGCAACAGACTTGTTTCTAAGCAGAACAGACACCTTGCTTCCTGGGGAACTTCAGCATGGAATGAACAGAGAGAGAGAGTTAAAGACCGTTCTTTACAGGTTTCTCTGGCTTCTTGGAGGCCCCTCATTTGAGATTTCTCAAACAAGAATTTGGAGGCCTTGTGAAAATGCTGTAAAAATAAAGTAGGAGGATTACGGAAATCTGAAAGCTTAGGCAATTAAGTAGAAGCCCGAAGACTGTAAAGAAAATACCAGATGTCAGGCATTGGCCAACTGGGATGCTTGAAAATGGAAAAGGAAATAGAGACACTTACATATCAGATTGGACTTGGAATCAGGAGACCTGAGTTCCAGTCTTGGCTGTGTTACCTCAGGCAAGTCCTTTACCTACTCTTGGGCCCCTCCAAAATCAGGAGGTTGGATTAGAGGATCCTTACGATACATGATGGGAGCCTTGGTGGCACAGTGGTTAAGCGCTCAGCTGCCAACCAAAAGGTCGGAGGTTCAAACCCACCAGCTGCTCTGCGGGAGAAAAATTACCTGCTTGGAAACCCTATGGGGCAGTTCTACTCTGTTCCATAGGGTCTCTATGAGTCGGAATCAACTCAACGGCAACGGGTTTGGTTTAAGGTACATGGCAGTTTGAAAATGTTATGATTCTCAAAATATTCCCACATAGTTAACTATGTTGGAAGGAGTTGGTGAGAAAGACTGAAGATGTAATAATACCTTTGTCCCACTTAGTAGAATTATGTATCAGCTTTGTTCTAGGGCATGTAACAATTCTTGAGAAATTACAGGTCATCAGGAAAGAATTTCTTCCCCCTTGTAAAATACAGTGGTTTTGTTCTTAGCACAGACAAGGAAAAGTACCTAGTTTTAAAGAGCACAGCAATGTCATAAATGGTCATTGTATTTCATTTTGCCTTGTCGTTTTGAAAAAATAAGGCTTATATTAAATGTCTATTATTAACCCTAATATCATAAGTCAGCCTGGAGCCTGCCTTTGAAGGACATGAGACTCCAGGCCTTAAGAGAGGACCCCATCACGGTTCCCCAAATGTCTTCTCTGCCTGCTATGAGAAACCTGAACTTCTACCTTTCATTCTTCTGGTTTTGACACTTAGAAGTTATAAATTCCAGTGGAGAAATGACAGACAAATCCAGTGGCTCCTTTCTCAGCTTTTCTACCAATAAGAGCACCTTTTATTATTATTATCTTTCTCCTTCTTAAAAATTCAAAACCAAACGCACTGCCACTGAGTCGATTCTGACTCATAGCGACCCTACAGGACGGAGTAGAACTGCCCCATAGGGTTTCCAAGGCTGTAAATCTTTACAGAAGCACACTGCCACATCTTTCTCCTGAGGAGAGACTGGTGGGTTTGAACTGCCAACCTTTCAGTTAGCAGCTGAGCACTTTAGCCAATTGCACCACAGGGTCCTTTTTTTAAAGAACAACCCATCCAACTTTTTTTTTTTTTTTTAATA